TCTGGTTCTTTTCACTAGCTTCTGACGCGCTAAACATCTGTTCCATCCCACTTTTTTTTTACTGTCTCTAGGTGCACACAATGCGATCCATTCTTCAGCCTTTGGCTGGACGCACCGTGTTTGCACCAATTGAAACAATAGTCTTCTTCGCCATCGTCGGAACTCTCGCATATTTCCAGGTCCTTTCAGCAATCAAACACTCTTCATTCTTCGCTCCATCCGTCCCTTCAACACTTCGTCCAGCCCATGCATTACTGCGTGATGGCGAGTGGGTTGGCGTCGATGAAGACTGGTATTTGAAACGCGTCAAAACAGCTGACTCACGTCCATTGGAATTACAACAATTAATATTTTCATTAGATCCAGCTCAGTCTTCAGCTACAGTCAGTGTTTGTCCAATTTGTTTTTGTCGTCATGGTTGTGACACGTTCATTGCCAGGTCACTGCAGACTCCGCACCTGTCGACCTCGTATCCTTATCACAATCTATTGATAATATCACGCACCATATAGTTCACGGCCTCTCTACCCCATTAGGCGAGACGTACACGTCGCTTTGCTATTATCCAGTGACTGGTGAATCGTTGTTACCCGCCTCATGTTTCACCACTGCATCCCTCCAGACCTCGCGGTCGAAGACGGTCACGCTCTCTTTTGCTGCTGGCGCTAGCGATGCATTTGTAGACGCGCTGAACCATCAACCCGCTTTCACGGCTGATGAATTTGGAGTCAGATACCAAATAGAGACCCACGTCACGGAGACAATCGGAGAAATGAAAGGTGGTAAATGGATGGCCTATGCTGCACGAGCCCTTATTGTGCGGTTCTGGGAGCTTACCAAGGTCAGCAGTCCGAAGCCTATTATGTCATATTCTTGCCATGCTCACCTGCAATCTAGAAAGCCGATTCACTGGACATCTTGCTCGTTCTCATTGGCTACATACTCATGCACGCATCATTCATTCGCCTATTCTTCTCAGCTCGCGCGCTTGGTTCCAACTTGAAGCTCAGCCTTGCAATCTTGTCATCATCCATCCTCGCATTCATGCTCGCTCTTCCTATCTCGCATTATCTCGAGATTCCCTTGGATCCAATCAGCCTCACTGAAGCTCTACCTTTCTTTGTGTGCACGGTTGGTTTCGATAAGCCTCTCCGTCTGGCAGCTGCAGTGTTCAACCATCCTCATCTGTTGTCTCCAGTTAAGGAGGGCAGATGGCGTGGCCAGATGAAACCTGCTGGTGAAGTAGTTATGGAAGCGATCGAAAACAGCGGTAATGCCATCTTACGTGATTATGCGCTTGAGATCGCGGTCCTCTCCATGGGAGCGAAGAGTAAAGTTGGTGGTCTGAAGGAGTTCTGTGCGCTTGCGGCACTGACACTGACGTTGGATTGTGTGTTATTTGGCACCTTCTATGCCGCGATGTTGGCAATTATGGTCGAGGTTAGTGATCATCTGATTTCCTTTTGTGGATCAACTGGGTTAGGGTCAACATGGCTCTTTCTCTGATTGTTCTCCAGAACAACGCTCATGGTGTCTGATTGTTTTAGGTTCGGAGGATCAAAGCTGCTCGTGATATGACAAGATCCCGGAGCTCGAACAATCTTAGTGAACGCAAGCCAAGTGCGCTCGTCCGTTCACCTCCTCAAGTCCAGGACGCCAGTCTTAGCCGTCAGCTATCAGAAACCTTATTGGGTGTCAAGGGTTCTATGCTCAGACAGAAGAACAGCCCACCGCCAGAAGTTAAGGAAGAGAATCCTCTCGCACGTCTGAAACTTCTTCTTGTACGTCACTGCCGCACCTGACATCCTTTCCTGTCATTGATGTCCAATTGAATAGATCGTATCCTTCCTAACTGTGCACATTCTCAACTTCGCAACCACGCTCACTCCTGCAACTATTTCGAGGTACCAGACTCAGACCTTGATTGACTCTGCAAGAGCCGACTATTCGGTGTCACACAGAGTTGACATAACCTCTCCTGCTATTGCCAGTGTCCTCGCCAACCTTGCCGCTATCGACGCCACTCTTCAAGTAGAAGTCGAAGTCGAAGCCAACGTGTCTGCACCTACCGATCTGCTTGTCAAGATCGCCCCGCCCCTGTACATCCGCGTCACGCCACCAGGTCCAGTTCGTCCTCGCGCACTGTTCAGATCTACCGAGGCGATCGAGAACTTCATGACTGGTTGGACAACCCTCGTCGGCGACCCCATTCTATCAAAATGGATCGTCCTTGTCCTCGCTGTCAGCGTGGCACTCAATGGTTACCTTCTCAAGGGCATTGCTGAGGGTGCCATGCGTGGACTGCAGCCCAACAATGTGCGCTTTAGGTCGGTCGTGGCCGAGAAACGTGACAAGGATGATGAGGAAATAGTTATCCCTGGAGTTAGGGCTGTTGGTGGACGCAGACGGTCATCCTTCGTAGTTGGTGATTCGAAGCCGCCCTCGCCGAGTTCTTCAGATTCCGAGAAGCCTATCGTTCGTCCCCTTGCTATCCGCCCTATGCGGGTCCTTGCACCCATTGCAATTCCCGCTACCGCTGGTGTGTCTGCACAGATGCTTGACATGAAGCTCCGTGCACAAGTTGCACCTGCACCAAGAGAGGACCAGCCGATTCAGTTCCCTATTCGGTCGTTGGAACAGTGCATCGAGGTGTTTGAGAATGGACCTCGTCCTGTGTCAGCGGCTCTTGCGACGCTCAATGACGAAGAGGTTGTCATGCTTGCACAGAACGGGAAGATTGCGGCGTATGCTTTGGAGAAGGTGCTTGGTGATCTTGAGCGGGCTGTTACCGTCCGTCGTGCGTTGATCTGTAAGCCTGTCTCCTATATTTGAGGGATCTTGGTGCTCATTTGATACCCAGCTCGTGCAACTGACACCAAATCGCTTGAGTACTCGGATATCCCCATGCACAACTACGATTACTCTCGTGTCGTTGGAGCGTGCTGTGAGAACGTTGTTGGTTACATCCCTATTCCTCTTGGTGTAGCCGGCCCACTCAACATCGATGACGAGCTTGTCCACATTCCCATGGCTACTGCTGAGGGCACACTTGTTGCGTCGACTTCGCGTGGTTGTAAGGCCCTGAATGCAGGTGGAGGTGTCACAACCGTCCTCACCAACGACGCCATGACGCGAGGACCTGCAATCGACTTCCCTTCCATCATCATGGCTGCAGAAGCTAAGGCATGGATTGACTCGGAAGAAGGCTTTGAGATCATTCGTGAGGCATTCGAATCGACGTCGCGTTTCGCCAAGCTTCAGCGCCTCAAGACTGCAATGGCTGGCCGTACACTGTTCGTTCGGTTCGCAACACGCACTGGTGACGCTATGGGCATGAACATGATTTCCAAGGGTACAGAGAAGGCGCTTGAGGTCGTCCAGAAGCATTTCCCGGAGATGATCACGCTTGCTCTGTCGGGCAACTACTGCACAGACAAGAAACCTGCTGCCATCAATTGGATTGAGGGACGCGGAAAGAGTGTGGTAGCTGAGGCTGTTATCCCTGGCAAGGTTGTCAAGAGCGTGTTGAAAACCACTGTTGAGGCGCTCTGCAATCTCAACACAAAGAAGAACTTGGTTGGAAGTGCTATGGCGGGCTCGATTGGTGGCTTCAATGCACATGCTGCAAATATCCTCACTGCGATTTTCTTGGCTACTGGTCAGGACCCTGCGCAGAACGTGGAGAGCTCGAATTGTATGACCCTTATGGAGCCGTAAGTCGCCATTGTTATCATCTGACGGTGCTTGATACTGATGACTGTCGGTAGAACGAACGACGGTGAAGATCTCCTCATGACTGTATCAATGCCCTCGATTGAGGTTGGCACTGTTGGTGGAGGTACTGTCCTTGGTCCTCAGGGCTCCGTCCTTGAAATGCTTGGGATCAAGGGCGCACATCCCACCACTCCCGGCCACAATGCGCAGCGCCTTGCTTGTATTATTGCTGCTTCCGTCATGGCCGGTGAACTCTCGCTCCTTAGTGCTCTCGCCGCCGGTCACCTCGTCCGTGCGCATCTCGTCCACAACCGTTCCCAAGCCAATACCCCGACGTCGTCACGGCCCGTTACCCCTGGACTCATCGCCAGCGACATCGTTTGGGAGCAGAAGACCGCCGAGAAAAGTCTCGGACCACGTCCTGATTCTGTCCTCACGCATTCATTATCGACCACATCATTACCCCCGTACACAGCAAACCCGGAGACGGAGGCTGAGACGAAGCCGTCTCAGTAGTCTACTGACAGACTGGCTGCGACCTGACGCTTAGCATCTTTTCCTTTCTTTTAGACTGTCATATTACTCATCTATATACATCAATATCTTTTCCAATTGCCTTTGCTCAGCATTTAGACGGAAAATAGCTATAGGATCTTTATCTTTGTATATTTGTAGCTAGTTGGCTTATACTACGTAGCAAGCTTGTTGACCGCCTGTATGTTGTGCGCTCAATGCATACCTCACGATTGATTATTGTGGTGTGCGCATTAGTAAATACGCGGAAGTCAAAGTGGTTCTGATTTTGACTTGACCAAAGGATAACAATATAATTCTACACGACATCATTTACATACATAAATCTGAACCCGCAGATGAGTGATACATATTACAATATTCTTCACCACTTTCCCACAACCTACATGAGGCTGTATATTATCTTCCTCCTTGTCTTGTTCATGACTTTATTCAGTTTCGAACGTTCCTGCGGGAAACCAAAAGTCCTTGACAACATTTACGTGATTTTAGTTGAGCACGATGATTGAGTTCATGCAAACTAATCACGCCCCGGCATCTGGTAAGGGGGCCCCTGCATGTATCCCGGGTACATGTAGCCCGCATTCAACCCATTGTCAGCGTTCGCGAGCCCGGCATAGCCGTTCTGGGGATATGTCGGGCCATAGAAGTATCCTACCGAAGGGTGATATTGGTAGGAATAAGGTTGGGCAGGGGGCTGCCACGGATTGGCGGCCGGCCTCGCGGGCCCGCCGTAAAAGGCCCCCAGCATGTTATTGTAGTTGTTTTGCTGAGGGGGTTGCGGCTGCGGCTGCGGCTGGAACTGAAGTTGAAGCTGCGGCAAGAGCTGCGGCTGAGCTTGCGGCTGGGCTGGGCTGGGGCTTTGTCTGGCATGCCGTCAACGGGGTCATGTGTGATGCGGATGTGGCAACAGTACGACCGCCGCGAGAAAGAGGAAGATGGCCATGTTCTGCCTTGCGGTGGCGAGTCAGTGCGGCAGGGTTGTGGGTCTTAAAGCCACAACCGTGCGGACATTTGTGACGCTTTTCACCAGTGCTAAAATTATTGTTAATTAGGTGGAATGGTCGTCGGTTATGAAGGAGTACTTACTGCCTGTCGGAATGGATTTCGAAGCTGGGTTTGGACAAAGTCGCAAAGTCACAGCCGGGGAAACGACATATGTGAGCACTAACAGTGAACGAATGTCAGTGGATCGTATAGCATACAAGATAATCACGGACTTGGGCGAATGTGCGGCCTCGTGTTTCTTGAGGTCATTATATTTAGTAAAGGTTTTGTTGCAGTCAGCTTGAGCAGAGCAAACATAGTTCTACACGTTCCAAATTTAGTTTAGTGCATGACGTATGCTCGTGGTTAGGTTCACCTTTTTGACAGCCATTTTGAGATAACTGATTGTGGAGGAATATAAACGAGGGGGTACTTGATTTTGTCTGAGGTGAATGCTAACTGTCCTTGAGGGTGATGATGATGCTAGGTAGGCATTTGTGCTGATATTTATACGATTCCTTGAGGTGCAAGTTGTATTGTAGACAGACACTATGAATTGTGGCCAGACGCGCGCTTGCTGTGGACCGATGTTTGATTGTGGATCTCATTAACCGTACATTTGCGGAAGTAACTAGTGGTCATGAGCCACTGTCATTATTGATGCGGCGGAGCGTGAATGCATTGTCCACTATTTTGTTCTGCGCATCAGTGATACAAAGGGATTTAGCACAGCAAGTACTGGTAGGTAGACACTTGCATTGACACGTTGAACCCAATTTAGTGGATCAGAGACTTACCGATAGGTTTCAACTAGCTCTCACCCGCACCACATTCCGGGTTCTGATGGATTAGGATATGTCACAACAATTGTGCTCCACCTTGATCATTGACATCCCTGCTAGAACCATCTAAGAATCATCGACACTCTACAGCAGTTGTGGTCCCTACCTTTGTTGACTTCGACACCACCTGTTGCTTCTGCAGCTCGAAATTCCGCTGTGGAAGCTGATCTCAAGTTCAGCTGCCCATTCCTAGTTGTCATTCATGGTAAGTTGTCCGCAGGTCCAGGCTCGGCGGCGAGACTTTCCAAGCTTGGGTCAACTTCCCAGAAAGCGGTACTTTCCCGGGGGTCACCAAGTTCTGGCAATGTGAAAACATCATGCATCATGATAATGCATTGATCATGGGCCATCTGTAGGATCCTCCGCTTCGCTCCTACTAAAATTGACGGTTTTAAGTCCAACTCCGCTCGGCTTTGCAGTCCAAACTTCAAGGCACGATTTCACCGGCAACCGACGGACGTGCTCGCTTTACCGCCGCTTATCGTTCCTAATCTGGTAGTCGCTTCTTGCTCGAAGCTTGAATAAGTACTTAGTACTACTGACGCTTCTACTACCTGTAGATACTCAACGAATACAACCTCTTTGAATTGCAAACCTCATCCATTGGACCACCAATTTTGACACCAAGCTGGCTCAGCATTTGCGAGTCAATGTTTCGGACAAACACTCCCGCCGGAGCCAATTTTACATACGTGCGAAGGCTCAAGTTTCTGTAATACCCGGCGCTTCAACGGCGCAGCTTTAAAATACTTATGTGCCTCGAGGTCAGCTGTTCGCTTGTAGCGTGGATGGTGAATTCTTTTCAAGATGGCCTCACTAGGATTCCGTCAAAGTGTCAAGTCTGCGTTGCAAACTGCCAAAAGCGCGTCGACGCGTCGTAATACCGGACAATGCTGCTCTCTGACGTCTTCCTCTGTCCAGGGACCTACCGAACCCCCCTGGATCTTCGAACACTCACAAATTTCTTTAGAGAAGAGATCCTCGGGAAACATGCTCACCGTCCTGCCCTCATTTGTACGCAAGAACGTCCCCGTGCCCATGGTGGGCCACCATCACGGAACCTCAATGTGATTAATCACCTAGCATGGGATTTTGACGAGTTTGACAAGCACATACGAGCACTGGCCCGAGGCTTGGTTGCAATGGGTGTCAGGAAGGGTGATCGCGTTGCAGTACTCATGGGGAACAATAGGTATCGTGCTTTGGTTCTAAAACGTCATATCCGCTGATCCAGTGGTGTGTTCCTATATGAAGCTCTTACGCAATCACTTCAGTGGGCGTGCGCGAGCATAGGTGCAATCCTCGTAACGCTGAACCCTGCCTATAGGTTGAATGAACTTGTAAGTTGATTATACGCTACCTGCAACTGCTTGAACCATTGTGTTGCAGGTGGAGACAATCAACCTTGTCGGCGTTACCCATCTCTTTACTGTACCTCGCATCAGAACGTCAAATTATATTCGCATGCTCTCTGATGCCTTTCCTGGGTTGTGCAACTCAACTCCCGGCAATATCCAAGAGCCCGGCCTTCCTTCGCTGAGGAACCTAGTCGTGGTCAGTAATATCCACGACACTGCAGAGTGGCATCGGGAGACGTGCGATGTGAAGAGTATCACTGATTGGAGAGAGACCTTGATATGGAGGGAAGATACGTGGGAACAGCGTCATATCGAAGAGTCGGTCCAGTCTCAAAGAAGTGACGAAGTTATCAACCTGCAGTTTACTAGGTGAGTTTTCTTCTAGATGAACTTTCATTTACTCATAGTAAATAATGATACATAGTGGGACCACCGGTGCTCCCAAGGCTGTCTCGGTAAATGACTGCCTCTACTATGTTTGCGCCGCTCCTGAATACCATCTCAGCTAACTCACACGAACCTACTCAATAATGGCATCTCCATTGGTGATTGTATGCGATTGGGCCCAGACGATGTCCTTTGTGCGTTCATCTTTGATTCTCGTGTCGTATGATATAGATGCTTCTCACCAGGCAATGTGCCTCCTCTGTTCCACTGCTTTGATGAGTGACAATTATCTGTTTTTCTTGCAATCATTCTTACCTTGAATTTATGCACGCCTAGTCATCGGTAACCTTGCTGCATGGTCCTATGGGTCTTGCGTTGTATACCCTTCAGAAATCTATGACCCTAAAGCTATCGTGGACTCCGTCGCGCAGCACAGATGTACGGCCCTGCATGGCGTCCCCACGCATTTCTTGGGTGTGTTGGCGGAAGTGCAGAAGAGGCAAGACGCGGGAGAGAAGTTAGATCTGAGTTGTCCTACGGTAAGTGGAACAAGTCTAGCCTTACTGAGCATCATCACTCATGACATGTAGGACTGGCGTTGCAGGCAGGCTCCCCAATACCTATCGATCTCATGCGACAGCTCATCGAGAAATTGAACCTCGTGGATCTGTCTATTGCATATGGAATGAGTGAGTTTCCATTTGTGCAAACTGGTAATTCGGTTAATTAACCTTTTAACAGCGGAAACAAGGTGAATTTACTCCCTCGGAGGGCAATGAGGTTCTATAATGGCTTAATCTTATTTCAGCCCCGTGTCTTTTCAAACCACACCGGCGGATCCAATCATCAAGCGTGTTGAGACGGTCGGTAGAGTGCAACCGCACGTGAAGGCCACGATCATTGACCAAGATGGACATGTTATCCCTGTCGGAAAGCCAGGTGAACTGTGTATCGCTGGTTATCTTGTTCAGAAAGGGTTCGCTTGGTCCAGATTTTAGTTTGTTTTTGTCCACTGAATAAGTCTAGCTACTGGGAGGATGAAGAACAAACGCAGAAGGCCATGCGGGCAGATCCGAATGACCCGTCCACAATATGGATGCATACAGGTGATGAAGGGATCATGGATGAGGAAGGATATCTGAAGAGTAAGTCTGTTGTTACATCCTTCTTAAATAATTGTTTGATGGCCCGCAGTTGTTGGCAGGATAAAGGTTAGCACGTCTTGACTCGGTGATTCAGAGAAATAAACTACTTCACAGGACATTATTATCCGTGGCGGGGAGGTGACGCATTCCATCTCACGTACGTAGTACCATGGTGGTCTAACTCAGCTTACAGAATCTATTTCCGGTCCAAATTGAGAACGCACTGACCGCACATCCCTCCATCAGGGAAGCTGCAGTTGTGTCCGTGCGTGATACGAAGTATGGAGAGGTCGTGGGGGCATGGATTGTCAGAGAACCAGGCACCAACATGTCAAGAGAGGACGTCCGTCGGACCGTCGCAGAGAATATGAATCCACAGGCAAGTTCCGGATGCAGGTTTCTCGGCCAAACTGACGCTTTCCCAGAATGCTCCAGCGTGGGTATGGTTTGTCGGCGAAGATGGCGCAGCGGGAGAACTTCCGAAGACTGCCAGTGGGAAGGTTATGAAACATGTTCTTCGCAAGTGGAGTGCAGAGTTTGCGCAGAATGCTATTGGGACTGTTGGAGGGAAATGATCCATCAATGTATTATGCATCATGGGCTATCGGTTATACTTGGTCTACTACATACTTCCGGAGTCTCGCTGATGTCACAAACGGCGGACCTGGCTAGAGTATTCCAGACCTAGCCTAGAGCACTCCAGAGCACCCTAGATTACCTTTAGAAGGTAATTTCACTGGCGGCAAAAGGTGGTAAGATGTCAGTTTTCCCACTGTTTTGGCAGTCAGGATTTCCTGCAAAATGTTCTTTGTCAGTTCAATCATTTGCCCCATCTCTGGGTAGCGAAAGAGTGCCGACGATGACGGTGACATTCTTGCGCTTGCATAATGATAAGGAGCCGTCGGATACCTTCATTTTGATGTCTCCTTCAATGCGCGAGAGCTGAATTCATGAGCTAGCCAATCATTGACAGTTTCATCTTCAGATGGGGGGAGAGAGCTCCTGGGACTTGGAAAAATCATATACAGTGTTCCTATCCCGTTGTGCGACTTGTACAATAAAATTGGTGTTACAGGAATTCGAAAAATACATAATCATACCTTGTGTGCCCTTGCAGCTACTGAAATATTCTTGCAGGTACCATTTGCGACATAGACGAGTGCATTCATAGTTGAGATGGGCACACCAGACCGCAGCAATGATGTTAAATTTAATATCCGACATCGGCAAGCGACACCGATCCGTGACTTTTACTGCTGTCACGCTGAGGACACGACTTCCACCATTTCTCAACAGTTTTGTTTTGATTCATTTGGAATGTGCTCTTATAATATACAAAACATATTCAGTGAAGTAAGTAACCAAGCAATTACTTTAAAAATTGAGTGCCGTAGGAAATAGTGGACCATCACAAATAGGGGCAATTTATGCTCGTCCAGATCGTGAGAACTTTCGCAGGAAATGAAAAGGTCGAAAGTGGGTGCACGAACGAAAGTTTGTCATTCACCCAACTTCAACAACAAAAATGGCGGTTACAAAACGCGTCCGGATTTACACTGAAGAGGATGTTGCAAACCACAAGTCCGCCAAAAGCTGTTGGATAACCTGTCGTGGCAAGGTTTACGATGTCACTGGATTCGTGCCCGACCATCCAGGAGGAGACGACCTCATTCTTGCGTATGCTGGAATGGACGTAGAAAACATTATGAAGGATGGGGATTCTCATGATCACTCTGACTCTGCATATGACATGTTGGAGGAATACGTCATTGGACGTTTGGGGACGGAAGCAACAGTTGTCAGAGATGGTACGTGCTTAGCTGCGCTTTAACGGAAAACACACTCATGGAGGTTTTTTTCTGCAGACTGGGAAGCTCCAGATGACTTCCACCCCGAGGACACCAACTCTGCGGAAGATTTTGAGAAGACACAGTTTTTAGACTTGCGCACGCCCTTACTGAGTCAAATGTGGCAGGCCAACTTTAGGTATGTTGGGACCTCCTCACAGAAGACGCATTTTCTGACTGCCTGAGTATAGCAAATCCTATTATCTCCAGCAAGTTCATCAACCACGGCATTTGCAAGAGTCTGCTCGTCTCTTTGCGTATGATATCTTGGAGGTGCGCAGCATGCCTGAAATCTTTGTTTCCATCTTATCTGATTCTACAGGTGTGCACACGGACCGTGTGGTATGTGGTACCACTGGTTTGGCTACCAATTACCGCAAATTTGTTCCTTCGATCCATGCTCCAGTTCAATGGTCCCATACCCACCTTCCTGTCCAATCCCCTGCTCCCATTGTCGCTCACATCAACCGTGACCTTAGATGCATTTGCTAAAACGCTTCCATGCTTCTTCTTGGGGAATTTCATATGGACAATTTTGGAATATGGGATGCATCGTTTCCTGTTCCATATCGACGAGTTCCTGCCAGACCACTCTGCGTTTTTGACACTTCACTTTTTGCTTCACGGTATCCATCATTACATGCCTATGGATAGGTGCGTAAACTGCGGGGGAGTATAACATATTTACTAATTTGCTCTTAGACTCAGGCTCGTCATGCCGCCTATATTGTTTGGGATCCTCCAGGCCCCATTCACTCGCCTCGCGTATATCCTGTTCCCCACTCCAGTCGCTAACGGTATCATTTCCGGTTCATTCACATTTTGTAAGTAGGCGTGCACGAGTTTGAAACTTGTTCTGATCATATTTTACAGACATCCTTTACGACTGTATGCATTACGCGTGAGTCTGGTCAGTTCTAATTTGACGCCTATGCTGATCCACTTTCAGACTTCACCACACCCAGCTACCTGCATACTTGCGCCATATGAAGAAATACCACCTTGCACACCACTACAAGAACTTCGAGCTAGGTTTCGGTGTTACCAGCAAAATCTGGGACTACGTCTTCAAAACCGTCCTTCCCGTATGAGTTCACTTCGTGGCTGTGGCTGGATATGCTTGTCTCTTACATTTCATCACCTCATTTTATTGGGCATTTTCAGTACATTTTTTACTTACACTTCGCGGACCAATATGATGTTCATCACCCACGGATTAATGTTTCAATCATTGTCCCTATCGTAGTCGAACAAGATATGCTACCACATACAATGAGTTCCCACTATGATACTTGACCGTACCGGCGCGGCGTTTACCGGCGTTAAATTTCTCCCGTTAATTTATAGCCTGAGACTTACTGCAGAACATCCTCTAGAACGATTGATACGGGGCCTGCATGGCTTTACCGTCCTTCGAATGTCCACCTCTACCTGCTTTGCTTATCATTTCATTGCTGCAGTTGACAATGCTTTTGGTATGTGACAGCATAAGCCTGAAGTTGAACCAGGAACCTGCACAGGCTGCCAGTGGATCGCAAGGCACTACGTGACTGATAGTGTCTATTTGTTTGATGGATTTCCTCGCTAGTGCAACATCGACTAACGTTCGACTGGTGTTGTACTACTGATTTCTCAAGCTTATCTCGCCGAGCAAGCTGTTTATACGGTATACCCGCATCCATGCACATCCGGGCGGGCCGATTCTGCTGTATCACAACCCGGGACGGACAAAATCATTCAAGTGACCTTCCTGCCTGACCGATCTGTTGTGACAGTTGTGTAATATTATACAGTACAAAATTTTGAGACGAAGGGCACGAACCATATCTCCCAGGTTGTTCTTCCACAGTAACATCCCCACCAAAAGCTTTTCATCGTTGATATCGACGAAACCTCTTAGGAAAAATAATGGATACCATGAACGCTGTCCGCTATGAGGCCGTGAGTTTCATGTTATCATGATACATTCGATCTCATTTCATTTACATCAGCCGCGGCAATTCAGCATGCAAACTGTACCAATTCCTACGATAAATGATGACGAGCTCTTGATAAAAGGTGCGCACTTCTGATAGTTTTCTAGCAGTGGTTCTGATATTGATTGTTTCAGTCTCATGCTGTGGTAAGCTCCACGCGTACACACTCTGTGCATGTATTTAACCAACCACAGGTATATGCGGAACCGACGGACATGTGCACGAGGGAGAATTCATCGCGAAGTTTCCTGTGAGTATTCGCAACAGCAAATTTAAGCGTATTTTGAGACTGATCTGCCGATCACAGCTGATCCCTGGTCACGAAGTAATTGGGACAGTTGCCAAAGTCGGCAGCAATGTCACGGGGTTCGTTGAAGGTGACCGGTGCGTTGCCGACCCAGGGGTCACAGTAAATCCAACTCTCCAGTACATTGAGAGCATAACTTGATAACTTTACAGTGCGAGTCATGTTTCTATTGTAGACGGGGGCAGTCTCTGCTATGTGAGAACTTCAACGGTAAAGGAGTTACGATGGCAGGAGGATTCGCTGAATACGTCGTATTGTGAGTGTCACCAACGCTAAACTCGCACATCTTATACATTTGCTCATTTGTGCAGCGAGGCTAAGAAGACTTACAAGATCGAGAACCTCACCGATGAAGAAGCAACACTTGTCGAGCCTGCTGCTTGCGCGATTCACGGGATGGATAAGCTCAACGCACCTGTAGGCATCGATGCGTTGGTGATTGGTGCTGGCCCTACCGGGCTGATTCTCGCACAACTGCTCAAACTGAACGGCGCTGCAAAAGTTGTTATTGCTGCGAACAAGGGCATTAAGACTCAGATTGCACAGGATCTAGGAGCTGGTGACGCGTATGTTGAGCTTGATAGAGAAAATCCTGCACCTCAGTGGGAACAACTAAGCAGGGACCATCCGTATGGATTTGATGTGGTCGTAAGTGATTTGCAGGACAGGACTGAAGACCTAAGTCGAACTTGAATTACAGGTTGAGGCCACTGGCAATGAGGCGGTCGCGAATGACTCCATCAACTACGTCCGGCGGGGTGGTACGCTCATGATCTACGGCGTCTACTCTGATAGCGCTCGTGTCCACTGGCCCCCTTCCAAGATATTTGGGGATGAAATCAAGGTGTGCGGAGTAATACTTACCGTTCACTTTTTGCTTATAACTCGAGTAGATCATTGGCTCATTTGCTCAGACTCATTGTTTCCCTCGAGCCATAGCGTACCTTGACAGTGGTAAAGTGAAAGTAAAGGGCATGGTATGCGCGAACCGTACTGTAAACTTGGCCGACCACATTAATATTTTCTAGGTCACTGACGTGTTCAAGATCAGCGAATATCAGCAGGCACTCGATAAAATGAACAGCAGAACTGCCTTGAAGATTGCACTGAAACCGTAATGCCAAGTTGTGTCCAGGCTCCTTCCCACCATTGCTGGGGAGATAAGGAGGGATCTGGGAGTACAAGAATAGCATTAATAGAAACCGCCGACTTCGTGCAACTTCAAAATCAGATCAAGTTTGTCCCCTCCAGTGTGAGCCACCGGTGGAGTGTGAAGGTTCTGTAGCAACATGTGCAGTAACTGCATCAGGAACGTTTTTCTAACTTAAAAGTTGTATCCACTCGTCGATTGTACGATGTTGGATGTTCATCTTCATTGTCACCATACCCCTAAGGCGTGTGAGATTCGCTAGTTCAGGGTCTTAGGTTACGGCGGGTACCTCATAACTTGAAATTATACGTTACTTGTAGTTTTCCATGCATCCGACGGCACGATTTCCGAGCAAGCCCCACACTCATCCCTCCACCAGCGATGTTATCTCTGCTCAGTGTGTTGGCAGGGATTGTGCTGCTCATATATGTTTATGTTCGCTTCAATGACCAAGGGTTATCCCAACTTCCGTCAGAAGCCCTAGCATTCTCACCCAACCGGTTCACACCACACGTCGTCCGTGAAACTGCTGAAAAGCTTAGCAGCTCCCCGAGAATTGTGAAGGACATACTTCCAGCAAAGACTGGACGTCGGTATATCGTAGTTGGTGTAAGCAACCCCATTGCATCTAGCGCTCTGATCTTGATGCTGACTTTTTTGGTATAGACTGGTTTTTTGGGCGGCTGGATCATTATCCAACTTCTGCAACGTGGCGAAGACCCAAAGAAAATCAGAATCCTCGACATCCGTACACCGACTCGTTCAGATCTGCGCACCGGCTTGGCCGCGCAAGTTGCTTTCTTCAAAGTTGACATTTCTAACGCGAAAGCTGTGGATGATGCGTTCCAGGCTCCGTGGCCAGATTCTGACCTTTCAGATACAGAGCCAGAGGTCACTGTCTTTCACACCGCTGCCAATATGCGCTTTTATGAGCGTCATCTTGCACTACTTCCGCGTTCTTCCAAAGTCAACCATGAAGGGACTCAAAATGTGATTCACGCAGCACGATCCATAGGTGTCACGGTCTTGGTGTATACCTCATCTGGATCTATCTCTGTCCGCAGATCTCGCTTTTGGCTATGGCCTTGGGAGAAGCGTCCAAAGCACTTTGTCCAAGTAATCAATGACGACGATAACCTCATTCCCAAATACCATGACCATTTCTTCTCCAACTACGCTGCGTCTAAGATCCTCGGACAGAGAGCGGTGAGAGCTGCTGATGGATCTCGATCTGGCGAGAAGATACTTCGGACGGGATGTATTCGTCCTGGCAATGGCGTGTTTGGCCCCGGCGGAGATCTTATATGCGGTGCCTACCTAATACGCAAGTACAACTACACCTGGGTTGCCAACATCATGCAATCCTTTGTGTATGTGGAAAACTGCGCCCTGGCCCACCTCTGCTATGAAGCACGTCTCCTCGAAACTGCAAGAGGAGGATCCAACCCTGACCTCGGTGGGCAGGCATTTACCATCACGGATACTGGTCCACCAGTCACATATAGCGATATATACGTAGGATTGACGACACTGGCTCCTGAAACTACGTTCACAGAGATGTCACCCACCTGTATGCTTTTCATATCGCAGATTATAGAGGTTCTTTACCTCTCACGCACGTTCTTGACAATGTCTTCGTTGCCTATGCGACGTGCGCTTGCACATTTTATACCCAACATAGTTGGAGACACCATCAATCTGCAACCATCTTTGTTCGCGCTCGTATCTGTGCACCTCATTTTTGACGATTCCAGAGCTCGATTGCCGCCTGAAAAAGGTGGTTTGGGTTATCACGGTCCGTTCACGACTCTGGAGGGGCTTTGCAGGACAGCGGAGGAACACTTCAAAGCTGGTGAAAATGGGGAAGGAATATCAAACTCCGGTGGTATTAGCTTAGATTTTTTCGGACTTTTCAAGGCTCGGAAGGAAATGACTCAGATGAACAAGATGGAGAAGAGGATTAGTGATCGGTTGCATGTAGAGGCTGTTGATGTGCTGGGGTGATGTTTACTGATAGGCTTACTGATACAGGCATGACTAGCAATTTCAGGGTTATTGGATCATGGGTAGGAGATTGTTGTGCTGAGCAATAGGAATTATTGATGATACGGCATCTCTACTCAATCGGAATTCGAGAATTGTCCTTGACCATTGTAATTGTCAGACGAAAACAGGGGCTTATATTATGTTTTATTCGAAGGTGTCGTCGCTTCACACAATATCTGCGCTTCTTCTTTTATTCCTTCCCAATCCTTAGTCTATTTTTTCGTCGATGAAGTCTTATACACCACAAGCCGTTCCGAGCCTTCATTACCATCTCGGATGGCACTAAGAATTTATCCGCTGCTTTCGTTGTGGTTGACACCGCTGTGAGTGATATGGTTCTTGGTTGTAACTGGGTGGCATACCGCCGCGATATAGCAGAGAATCATCGAGAGATTCGTTTACCTGCACACGACTGTTGCTTCGGTCAGATCGTTTAATTCAGTCTGTATGGTTTATGATCGATTGATGTTGTTACAGGCGTTCAGACAATGATAATGATGTACAAGGCTCTTCAGTGGAACAGTCCTATTGTTATTCAAGCTCGAAATCTCAATTAATAAGCACCGCGTCAAAGCAGAAGACATGATCCAAGATATGTTGTCGGAAGTTCTTATGTTGCCATCGGTCGATGCTGTCCAATTCTAATGCGTCATTCATGATCATAGAGGGCTGGGTGCATATAGCCTCAAAGAAGAAGGCAGCCAATTGAACCTTGCGCCAGCTACTGGCAGCTAGACTCGCGACCAGCCGCGCATACTACTGCGGATGGAACCTCATCATCTCAAGTTTATGCATGGTCAGGTTACGAGTCTAGGCGTCAGGACGAGTGCAGTATTAGGCCATCGATCATCCTTTGTGACGCCGTATTGATAGTACCTAGCCATACTGTCATAGCGTGTGTTCACACCTAAAGTTTGACTTAAAAATTTGAACTTCAACGTTCAAAAGCGATTCAGAATTCTGGAGGATGTTGCAGTTTTTACTGTCGGCTTGATCAAGAGACGTCGTTTCACTAGAACAACTCTGGCATTTCAATACAACAGTACAAGTCACGTCAAACGGCTGATATGTTTATGTTTACACACACGGCAAGGCAGGTGCACTTGCGCGTGATATTTAGTTCTTGCAGTTGCAGCTACCAACCTGGCAGTTGCAGCTGTTGACAGACAGTCAGAATCTGTTTATTGAAGTCTTGTCACAGGACAAAACTCACGTGGAGGTGCAGTTGCATTGCTCGGTGTTGTTGTTGAACATGATGGTGGTGATAAGTGCGGTTAAGCTGCAAGACGGTGTCAGTCGCGTCATGATCAAGGGGGCTTAGAACTGAGTCAGACAGCTCACCTGATATGTGAGGCAGCTGATGATAGAGCGGATTGCTGGAGAAAAAGCCAGCCAAAGAGGGGCCATTTTATATTGTTAATCATTAGCGCCGTGTGTCGGAGTAAAGACGATAAGCGGACTACATTTGTCTCTGTCAATCCCAGGATTGTCAACACATATCATCATATGATACGACCCCACAGGGCACAGCAAGAGAGGTAACTAAGAAAAGGCATCTGGTTCTGCTCCGCTCGACAAGATAAACACCTACAATAACTTAGGTAACTCATGGTTGTCAATGCTACAAGGCACCATTGGACCCAGATAACTCAACAAGACTGGTGAACTTCTGCTCCAAACCTGATAAAATAAAAGTACACCGGCCAGAGACAACCGCATCAGGATACGGAGATCGAGCCTTGAGCGTGGGGGTGAGCTAGGAGTGAAGTTAACTTGTAAGCTCATGTACCTCAGTACCTCGATGGCTCAAATGCAATGCAAAATTAAGCAATCAAAGCAATGATCGCAAGCTGTCTTACCAGTAGTACGAAGTTAGTACGTACTTAAATTGACGTAACGACGCGAACTCACGCCTGACTGCAAGTCCCCGACAGTCGACTCCTGGAAATTTGTCTCGAATTTTGCTCATGTGATTCCTTCTGCACCTCTGCCTAGCCCTCTGTAGTATAAGCGACTGGCTGGTCTTGACTCTTGAGCTTCTGCAATCCCAATGATTGCACTTGGATGCGATCGGGTTTGAGCAAGCTGAACTTGAAGTAAAGGATGGACGGTCATGGTCCCAATGATTTGAATACGGTCCAGGGTACGAAGTCATGAATACGGCGGGATCCATAGATATAGGGATAATTATATTGCAAGTCGTAAGCTTCACAGTAGTCTAGTAGCAGTTGCTTGAAGTGATTGTTCGAAATTATGTAAGTCTTAGTCAACCCTCAGCCGCTCAGCGCTGCAGCGGCCGTACTAACCGGCGAAGCTTTCCACCTTCCTCCACCCGCTCTCATGTTCGGACCTTACAACGCATCAGAAACATCAACAGGGGACGGCACTCGCAGGGGCCGCATAGTGCTCGCAATATGATGGTCCAAGCAGAAGCCAGACTGGCATAAGCCACCCCCCACTGCGATCGTTGCCCGTGCCGTCAGCGAGTCGTACTAGCATTGACGTCTACCATACCAGATGTGAGGTTCCTTTGGACTCACTTCCAGACTTCTCTTGAGTGGATTGTCGACAATCATTCCTCATCAAACCATCCCATATGCCATTCTGGATGAGCCAACCTACCTATAAACGAAGCACCCACTGTTCATGCAACGAATGTGTACGTTGGCCCACCTTCGAGATACTACAATCGATCAGAGCTATACGTGGGCATTCATTCTAGGCCTTCTGGGCGATGTCTCAAGAATCCGCATTTTACCAAAGAAGTCCACTTGTCGTAAGCGTCATCGTAGCACGCACCCAGATTTTGATTTCATTGTCCTGCTGTCTTCTTCATTCGGACTTATGATTGGACTTGTCGAGGTCACTCTTGTTTAGCTACCATTCTTCCACACTTCCCCACGCACTTAGACCTTCACGCTTTTACTTTCCACAACATGCTTGGACCTTACCGTCTCATATATAAGCCACCATGTTTTCCCCACAGTTTATTCTCATCATCTGTCTTTCTATTTCGACGTATCGAAGAGTCAAACCCTTATAATCATAGAAAATATGCAGGTATGTTCTTCCTCTCCTGGCCTTATATGACTTCTCCCTTACGCATGTTTTAGTCCAACGCTTCTTCATCTAAAACCCCCGTCGCTCTAT